AAACCTGAATCTACAACGAGATGACGGCGAAGAACAGCGTGAAACAGAAGTGCTGGCGGATTCTCGTATTACGGACGCAGCTACAGCTCAGTCTGAACCGGTTCCACAACCTGACTCTGATTCACAGCTTCAGACTGTGTTAGATGCTAACACTGATGATCAGGATATGGAGGAGGTCCGGTTGTCTCCTAAAGGAAGGGCGCTTTTATCGCTTATTGAAGAGATGGAGGATGACTCTACAAACAGTGATCAAGGTACGAGTGCGAATCTAAAATCATGTCTCGGGCTATGGACCAGTCTGAAACGGTGCACCAATCGGAAACTGGGTACCAATCGGAAACTGTGGACCAATCCAAAACGCTGTGTCAAGCTGTGAACCCTGACGGAGCTGCGGAGCAGTCAGAAAACGATGATGTATTCAAGAAGCGAACTGTGTCATTTCCAGATAATGATCCATCTAAACCGGAGAGTGTAAAACTAAGCTGGAAGGTGTCTAAAACAGCAAAGAAGTCGGGACGTCCAAAGATAAAAAGAGCAGAGCGAAAGAAGGAGACACTTGAAGAGCTTCGTCAGACGAATCGTCTAGTGGACGCCGTGGCTAATGGAGATACACCTTCGTTGTCAATCCTGGAAGAGGCTGTTACAAATGGGGCCACATATAAATTCGCGCCTGCGATGCGAGCACTTTCAATTATTCAAACGAAGCGAGCAAAAATTACGGTGATTCACCGGGGAAAAAAGCAGCCAACCTCCACAAAAAATGTGATGACTGTGCTACCAAGGCAAATAATTGATGCGTGTGAGGTTCAAGTAGCCCTATTCCTGAATCGTTGGTTCAGCGACCATGAACATCGAATATCGCAACAGGATGAAACCGTGGTGACAGGAAGAACCGCGTATGATGTGAAAACGCTCAAAGCAATGCGGTCGTGGCATACAGCGGTCTCGCACTTTGATATCATTGATGAAGCCATAAAATGGGTGGAAGATTTTGATAACTCTCAATGGCAACCACGTGAAGCTGTGTGGGCTGAAGGAATACTAGAAAAAGACGATATTTGTAAGGGACTGAAGAACGTGGACGTACTTGGCGATTTTTTATGGGCTACATCGCTGTGAGGGAAAACAATGATCGAAGGGCCTTGTCTCGATACTGCGGTGAAAGCAATTGTGAAGCGCAACAGCGACAAAATTATTGTTTTTAGTATTCCTTCCGACGTGCTTCGCTTCCCCAATTTCGACGTCGAATCCATAAAACATCAAGCAGTCTGGAAAGACCTTGAAAATGCCAGAGCCAGTATGGATCTCGACAAGGATAGACTCCTTTTTTTCGCGGCGATAAACTATGGGCTTAATCACTGGTGCGCTGTGACTGTGGATTTAATTCCAACGAGGTGAAGGTTTACGATCCCCAGCAAGCTGGAGATAGGTTCAAGCAACTTCGAGCGTACTTGAAGTGTGAATTGCTTCCTCGGTTACCTCAACTGGAGTCTCCAAAGCGATTTCGATTCACGCGATGACATTGGCTCACGCAAGTGGATAACTACAACTGCGGTGTCTTCGTTCTAATGTTTTTTGAGCTGTGTATTCTCGGATATGACTTCGCGCCAAGTGATCTCGAGGGAAAAATTAGTCCTGGGATGCAGTTCTATCGCTACCGATATCTTAGCCAGATAATAACTGCTATGTAAGCATGCTTTCTTTTACAAATTGAGTCGCCTTCATAATAAAATACGTCAGCAAACTGGCACGGGGCGAGCACCTTTTCGACTTGGGGACAAACATCATCAAGACTTAGAGGAAAATGACTCTTAGTTCAAAAATCTCACTTGACACCGACATTCACTCCTGTCAGGTGTTTCTATTCTACACGAAGCCGCACCGACTTCGTCCAAAATCGACTTGCTTATGCATGAAAAACTGATAATCAGATGGCGGCACCAACGTTGACTTTCCAGTCCCTTGACCCGGTTATGAACTCAAACTGTGTAAGACGGTTCGGAACGGTGCACCAGGTACACAGCCAAGAAAAAAACGGTGTACGTAGTCTCTGCCAAGTGTGATAACAAGATTCGATGTGTATGCGGCCTTTACATGTATAAGGGGATTTTCCCGTATGAGTATATTACCGGCTTTCACGTTCTAAGTAAAATTAGCATTCCTCCGAAATCTGCTTTCGATAGTCAGCTCCGAGGTACGAGGATCAGCGATGACGACTACAAGCGGGTACAGTTTGTCTGAGAGCACTTTGAAATGAAGTCGATCAAGGACCTACTCGTCTGGTAAAACAATCTCGATATTCTTCATCGAGGCTATCCAGGCTCAGCGTAAATTATTCAAACGGCTCGATCTAGATATGTTTACAGATGATGTATCGCTACCTGGTCTATCGGAGAAGGTCATGTATCAGACTTGCTATAGCAGCCTTCATTATCCAAGCAAGAATCCGGCTAAGGCCTTTAGCTTTCCAGCTAAGCGCATGAGCGGCTACAAAGCTCAAGATGCTGAGGCCAATCGAGAGTTCGACATGCGTCTTAAGTACTTGAATGAATCGGCTAGGAAACAGAAGTATCTATGCGGGATTTGCTATTGCCAGCTGACCGAAGAGACAGCTTCTGCTGATAGGGTTAATAACAAGCTTTTTCATATTGATGGCAAAATATCGATTAGCTGCATCAAATGAAATACTGCCTGCAAGGACATGTCACGCAGAGGTTTTCGATTTAGCAAACAGCTCGAATTTAACTCAAATAGACTCGTCTACTCGATTGATAAAGATGAGAAGGAAATTTACTCTAAAATAGGCCAACATTGCCGGTGGGCCGTCCATTATCTTTAACCGGTATACTAAGCGCAATAAGACTACCATTCGAGGAGGTAAGCTCTAAAAGAAGGTAATCGAGGAGGTAAGCTATAAAAAAAGGTAATCGGGTACTGCGAACGCGATCGAGAAATGAGTTTTTTTCCTCGCTCATTACCTTTAGGGTCTCGGAAACGAAATGCCTTGTGGTCGGTTAGGCTTATCCTAGTATTGTTGATGACGTCAAGTCTGACAAGATTTTCGGCTTCCTTGAATGCGATATTAGAACACCGGAACATTTGAGAGACGGTTTCGGGAGCAGAAACAGAAGTTTGACGGGTTCAAAATAGCATCTCACAATCCGAACTCATGGTAGATGAATCTGGCATTTTGGGGAAAGGAGCCAATACTAATGCTATCAATATCAACTCGCGTATAGGATACGCAAAGATATCAGCTAACAAACAAGCAACAACTGTTTTGGCTGTAATTAAGACATTCGTGCGCTTGCACAAGGTCGATGTTCTTACTAGTGTTAACGGAGCTTTGTTCATGAATCAGGATGTTAAAAGGTTTATGAAATCTAAAACGATTGAACGCTATAATAACGAGCCAGGTGATCATGTAACGATGGGGGAGGTTGAACGGATCGCAGTGTAATACCAACGTAGGTTCTTTCTAGTTACTTTAACGCACCTTGAGGCTTCATGTTATAAAGCGCTCGGGGCGCTCACGCTTCATCTAGTGCGCCGAATTCCGTTTAAGTGCGTCGATTAGTGCACCTAGCGCTCAGCAGGACTATTGCATGAGAACAGCTTGGAACAAACGCCTATAGTCGATAAAAAAAACGCAAAAGTCGTTTCTGCTCTTATAGTTATGCCACCCCGCCAGGACGTTATTTTTGCCGAAGTGTCAGCTTAGGTCCAATTCTACCCTAGAACGCTGAAACAGAGACTCACTAAAATATCGCTAATGATTTTATATTAAATTACATCAATAATTTTCATCGATCTATTGGGATGAAGCAGAGGTAAAGTCATTGAGTCTGAGCTAGCTCATAATCGAGAAGCGGCTGAAAGAATCTACAATGAGCTAGAGATAGGTAAGGACGTTCTTTATCGACGTAAGAAGCAAACATTTAATAGCGAAGCTGTGCGATGGAGTAAATACTATTATCGGGATTGATGGCTATCGTGTTTAAATCGGATCTAAGAACGGTCACACTACAAAGCTCCGAATGATATTAAAATCGTACAAGCTCAAGCATCTGGTGCTGCAATCAGCAGTTTCGAAGTGAAGCGAATCTTAGACCAAAGAATTTATCAAATGGGAAATATAAGTGTTTAATCAGTTGGGTAGGCATTGAGCTTGACTCGTGGAAATCTAAAGACAATTTACGGTTAGGTTAGCCAATAAGACTCGAAGGTCTAATCTTGAAAATTTGTACTGGAATAAAATATGAGCCAGCCGTTACTTCGTCGTAGCTTATGATATGTTGCAGAGAAATCCTCTGTGCTTCGAGTTATGCGGCGCGATTATATCTTAATGAATATTATTCGTGGAAAATATAAATCATATTAAGCAAGCATTTGCTTACGTCTAACACTTGCTTAACACTTGTAAATACAAGTGTCCATTTTTATGTTGGTTATGATATATACGACTGTCAAAATGTTTCCCAATTTCGCTTCTTTAGCTCAACGAGAACAAAAGTCAAAATGTTTCCCAATTTCGCTTCTTTAGCTCAACGAGAACAAAAGCGGCTAGACCTACTAGATCGTTTTCAGCGTCGGGTTTGAGAAGCATCGGCAAAGAGAGGAATGTATGCGAGAGCTCAATGGGCAAGTGATGCGGCTAAGGGTATCATAACCGATCCAATTTAAAAAGCTCACACTGATATCACGTTTGGTCCTAATGACGAAACGCCTGACGCGCTAAAGGTTCCTTTTTCAATAATCTAAAACAAAACTAGAAACGCCAACAGAAACCCTGGTCCTCAGTTGACCTACGTCCTTCAATGAGCGGTATAGGAATCGAAAATACTCCAGACGTTTCGGATGCTGCAGTTGATGTACGTTCTTTAATGACCGATGTAGGGATTCAATACCATCCATGATGTATCTGATACTCAAAAACGCACGAAAAAGGTTAACCAAGGCTTGCTGGCAGTTTCGTTTGTAAATAAAAATAATCAAACGTCTCATTTTTTTGCTCGTAACAAAAGCTTTACACTAAAAGAGCTATCGCGAAACTTGACTCTAAGATCGTTCTGTATATATATCGTCATCGTTATCGAAGACCTTGATCCATTGTAGCAATTCATCCAAAAACACTGGCTTGGCTTGTACGATATCAACCCACCGACAGCAGCATCGCCTCGATCAAATGCACTTAGAATTTCACCAGAAGCTTCATACTCATTCTTGATGAGATCACATCTTACGATGTTCGACGATGCCGGATGGATTTAAGGAATGATATTTCATATAATAGCTGGGGGCTCGAAACGGTAGAAGAGACAGATGTATACGTTCCAGCTGTAAAACCAATTACCTTTCCAAATGCGGGGTTATCAATGATCACTCGTGTCACACGGATTGTAGTAGACACTATTCTCAGTCAGCTGAATATAAAACACATTGTTTCCCAATGCATCAACTAGATAGGCTCCGGCATTCACCAGAGCAGTTTGAATGCTCCGATTGATATCCGTATTGGTATTAATACCGTCCGGAAGAGCGATTGAGATCATACATGTTGTACCAGCGGTCGGTAGCTCCAATCTGAACGAGTTGTTCCAGAATTGACCTTAATCAATATTATACTGTGAATTATACACAGAAATCGACTGAATTGCGCAAGTGATGTCTTTGAAGTCAGCCGCGGAGCCAGCGAACGAATATTTCCATGAGCTATTGTAACCATCCCGAACAAGGTTCGTTGAATCAAGCTTAACAAATGACTCACACATGGCTGATATATTATTGGATACATCTTATCGCGATATCAATAATAACTCATCCGTTCGGTTAGGTCTATCGAAATTGTGTCTTAATTCGCCTCTTGCACTATCGCAAAGAAGATGTTGCCCTTTTCTCTCAGTAGCACGGTTGTAATAATGGACAATCGATCGTTCATCAACGCGGGGGATGTTAAAATCTTTAACAACCATTGCTAAATCGCTTTTCGAATTGGCTTTTAGGATTGTCACGTACTCTGAATTCAATCGGATCATCTTATCGGAAGCAAAGTAGCTATGGCTAAGGAAAATAGTACTCAACTTGAAATGACGTCATCGGGTCATATAGTGAGAGAAAAATTCTTCTGAAGTAGCTTATAGTTACTGTAGTCATCAATACTGACTAGCTCCGGTATATTCGAGCTCAGAGGAGCCCTTCGCAACTGATTGACGCTCGGTGGAGAGGCAGGGTCAGCAAACGTTATAAATTCACTCAGCTTATCTCTGAGATAGTCATAGAGTTCCTGATATGGATCACGGGCATGATCGTGAGATGGGCAAATACATGAGGAGGGTTCTTGAGAAAGAATAAACAAAGGTTGTTCTTCCCACTAAACCATGGGCTCAAAACGATCATCCTACACAATGATTTGATGCCTAAAGCTGGAATATCCCCCATTAAGGCTGCCTTAAACTTCTTTGGAAGCGAACATCCGTACTGCTCATCGTGTTTTATCGTCTACTGTATAGGATCATACAAAATGAGCTCCATCTTTTCATATCCAAATCCAGTATTCAATCCGAGTATCTACAATCCCGCATTCTATCTCTCGTTGGATGCAAGCGGATTTCTTACGCATGAATATGCTCAGACACGAGGAACGACTATCGACTATCATACATCAGCGGGATCGCTCCTGGTATAGCAACACAAGGAGTAGCTCTTGTTCCAGGAATTAAAAAAAAAACATTAGCAGTATTGGTGCTCTAAGCTGCTCCTCTCTAATGGTTAATGGATCAGCAGTCACTGTGGCTCCTGATTCTATAGCTGGTATTACGCCTGGAACGGCATCCACTAGTAATGTTTTGGTTCTTAACGCTTCAGGTAATATCACTAGAATTAATGCTTTATCAGCAACAAGCATAACCGGAACATTGCAAACAGGTAGTCAGTCCAGTATTACGTCTCTGGAGCTCTCGCCGGACTATCAACAGGCGGTAATCTCTCATTTACAGGTGCTTCTCGTTCGCTAACAGGCTTAGAGGTTTATCAGCAGTTACCATTAGCGGGGTGCACCAGACAGCTAGTCAATCTAATTTCCCATCGTTGGGGACACTATCCGGGATATCAATAGCCGGTAATTTGGTATTGACAGGTTCATCACGAACGATAACAGGTTTATAGACACCATCATCGACAAGCATAAGCGGAACGTTGAAGATAGCTAGTCAGTCCAATATTACGTCTCTTGGGCTACTATCAGGGTTATCAATAGGCGGTAATTTGATATTTACAGGTTCTTCCCGATCCATAACAGGTCTAGAATCGCTATCAGCAGTTAGCATAAGCGGAACGCTGCAGTCAGCTAGTCAATCTAATATAACGTCTTTTGGAACTCTATCCGGACTAACCATAGGCGGTAATTTGGTATTCACAGATGTTCCCTCTGTTGACTTGAAGTAAAAATATGAAGTGAATTGAATTATCTAGCTGTTTTTTCTAGGGGTTTCTAGTGGTTTCTTAACTGCTATCGCGTTGGTTTCTAAAGGCCAACGTGCTTGCTTTTGACGACAGTGCGTCGACAGCAAGCAACACTTCCCCCTTCGATGAAGCTGAAATGGAAGGTCTACATTGTAGACCAGTTGAGGCTTCCATGAGCTTCACTATCGCCGGAATGTCTTGGTTGCTGGTAAGAAATTTCTTTACCAATACTGGAACATCTTCGATCAGGTTCTGGACTGGTTCCCAGGAATTTTCCTCTTCTGTGAGACCTCTCCATTTGACAAGCAGCTCATGCGTCTTCGTCGTGCTATTGTAACGCGCTTCTTTGAGTTCCTCCTCCACATGGCCTTCACTGTTGTGAGCTACTTGGGCGAGTAAATCTTCGGTAATTCCAAGTTCAGCGTCAGCAAAAAACTTGAGACGACTGGCGTGTGCTTCGCGACGCGCTCCGGTCAGCAAGGTTTCGACAACAAATATCCAATTGGAAGAAGTATCAACCACACGTGCTGGACCGCACCATTTGACCCGTAGTTTAGATCGACGGTGAGCCCAGACGTCTGCATAAAGAACGAAATCCCCAATAGCGAACTGCGCCATTTCAAAACCGCGCTTTACTGCCTTTTTCCGACCATGTTTGCGTGCGAGGTTACGAGCTTCTGCCACTTTCTTGTGCATTTTTTCCAAAGCCTTCTTCAACTTCTCGAAGTTGACACCACGAATTTCTTTAATGTCTTCTATTGTCGCCGGCTCAACTCCAATTGGGGTGACGATCGGCTCCACAGGGTTCATTGCTGGAAGACTCGTCATGCCCGTGACTGGCGCTACCCCCATACAATGATGAGGAAGGAGATTGGTTGAGCACCAGCTGGACAATCTTTATCACCCTTGGCCACTCTGCTTCAGCCAGTCGCCATTCGGAAAGCAGTGCACGACAACAACGGAGCACCTCTCGCATCACCACCTCGACTGTACTATTGGCACAGGGGCACCTGGCTGTGGTGAAGTGGTGGTGGGCTCCGAGAGCTCGTTGCAAGGCTTGGATGATCAGATTCTTGAAATGGGTTCCTTGATCAGATACCCAAGTATGGCAAATTCCGAAAGCTGCAAACCAATCCAGTAATGCGTCGTAAGTAGTATCGGCGGTCGCTGAAAGTGCAGGAACTAGCCATACAAAATTGGCTGCATCAACTTTCAATACAAGAACGTAATTGTGTCCAGTCGTGGAATCACCAAGAGATAGGAAATCAAAATGGAGAACTTCATTCGGTTTTTCTGCGTGAAGGGCCTCGCCGAGCGGCCGGGGAAATGGTGGTCCACCCGATATACTTGCGCAATGCAGGCACTTGGACACAAAAACCTTCACGTCTGCCACGAGGTCCGACCAAAAAAACTTTTCCGCGATGTGTTTTAAAGTAACATCGGTGGTACGATGTCCTGCGGCTCCAAAGTGACCGATGATACACAGACGTAGCTGCAAATCCGTTGATACGTCCGGCACCCAGATTCGCCCGGAGAGATCACGTAGGATATTGTCCGCCCCTTTCACTAGTTCTGTCGGCATGTTATGAACCGCAATTTTCTGTGCTGTCTGAATATGACCTAGGGTAGGCCACACGAACGATTCATCCACTTGAGGTGAAGTAGGGAAAGATGTCAACCGAATTGCTGCCACCGTAGCGAAAGATGATCCCCAACGGGACAGAAGATCCGCCCAAACATTGGCTTCCCCCGATATGCCGTGTATTTCATAGTCCAGCGACATTAACAACAGAGACCACCGGTGAAGTTTATCTGCCGTATACTTCGGAACCGCAGAGAACACTGTGGTAGGCGCAAATATGTAGCGCAAATTCATGTGGTCTGTATACAGATTAAACCCATCCGGACGATGAACGAGATAATCCGCTCGTTTGCAGGTTTCCACGATAGCAAAAGCCTCTTTTTCAACAATCGCCCAGCGCTTAGCCCCACCGGAAAAAGTCCCGCTTAGCATCATGAGTGGCTCATGGTTTTGGTCCGCGAAATCTCGATTGAGATGATCCACTGGGACTTGCGCGATCGCTGCGTCCCAATGTAAATCACTGGCATCCGCAAAAACACACAAACGTTTTTCAGGATCTGGATGCGCTAATGTCAGCGCATTTTCGAGCGCATCTTTGCAGTGTTATAATCCAGCAATTTCTTCGTTAGACCAGCCCACATCCTTTAACACCACTCGTCGCACCATCAACTTTTTCCGACCACCAGCGGCAGCGTACACTTTTTCCATGAACACTACCAGTGGGTTGACCAGCTTGTTAAAGGCTGGGATTGACATGCGCATCCAATTGAGCGCGCAAATAAACTGTTGCAATTCTTGGCCCGTTGTCGGCGCAGGTAGATTACGCAAAGCCAGAATTCGTGCTGGGTCATGCCGGACACCATCGCTTGAGACCACACGGCCGCTCCAGAGCGCCTCAGTCATGAAAAACTTGCATTTCTTGGGATTGAGCTTCAGACCTTTTTTAGCACAAATAGTAAGCACTTTCCGCAATATCTCCAACAGTTTGTCCGGCGAATCTGCGTAACCGAGAAGGTCGTCAATCCAGATAAGAAGGCCGTTATTAAATAGATCCCCGAACATGGCTTGCACCGTGGACTATACGTACGCCACACTGTTCGTTCCCCCCATGAGGACACGAGTAGGTGTTATCACCCCCATTTCCGTGAGAATCGAGTAAATTTCCCGGCAATCGCTCGCAACACCAAACTGCCAGAAACCTTTAAAAAAATCGACGGAAAAATAAAACTTGCAGCTCTTTAGTCGATCAAAGTCGACTTCCAGTATGGGCATCGGCCAATCTACAGGTACAACACGCTTGTTCGCTTCCCGAACGTCGACTGTCATCCGGTGATCGTCGTCTTTTGGCACTACCTGGGGTGGTGAACACCATTCACTGGATGGATTCCTGTAACAAAGGCCGGCATCGATCAGCATTTTCACGTGGCGAGCGAGAAACTCACGGTGAGCTGCTGAATATCGTCGTGAGCGACATCGTACTGGAGTCGCTCCGGGCTTGAGCTTGATACGCATTGGTGGCATATCGACAGATGGATTACCACCCAGTGCCATACGAAACACGTCGATATGATCCTCTAACAGCTTCTGCACCTCCTCCAGAAACTCAGGAGACGCGCCCTTAGATTTAGCATCCTCCATGCCCTCTCTTAGCGCTGCCTTGACCTTTTCAACGTCTGAATTCGCCGCATTTGGCACAGGAAAACACGCAGCATCCTCGGCTTCACTCAGCTCTTTTTCTTCAGATGTTAAATCCGCCTTTTGTATTCCGAAAGCGAATACATCTGCGTCACCGTCGGTCGCACCCAAATCGCTGAGATCGTATTCAGGCTGGACCCTCCGGGCAGACTCAATCAGTTTTAGCGGATCGTAGCCCAAACGTTCCATTACCGAATCAGACAGTAAGATATCTCCAACACGATCTGGCAACGGGTCCGGGGAGATCAAACAGCTCACATTCCTCAAGACCAGCGGACCGCCAGGCGTCTCGAACCGCAAGAACAAATTCGTTTTCTCTTCTGTAATTGTGATAGGTGTAGGACCAACCCCCTTTACAACCTGTGGACGCCTCAAGTTCCTTCGTGGCAACCACACTTGATTTGCTTTGTGTTTTTCCACAAGGCACGGCGCTATCATGCTAACTTCAGCGCCGCTATCAGGCTTGATCATCGTATCAACACTGTCCATCACTCGACATGTCAGCGTCCTACTTAGCGATGAGTGGGTGGAATCCTGCAGCCGCGCTATACCCACGATCTTCTCTGGCCGAGCATTCTTGCCTGTTTTCGCCTCATATAGCTGCTTTGCCTCGGCAAAATCAGTGACCTGCGGATACTGGAATACCGAGTGAGTAAAA